GGTTGCACAAGAGTAGGAAAATGAGCACTTGTTTTTTGGGCAGGAGCCCCATTCGGTCGAAACCTTGTCGGAGAATCTTGAGGGGCGGGGGTGACAAGGTCGGAGTAGAAGCACCAACTTCCCCGAAAGCAGAGGTGTCGTACTTTCTTCGGACACACAAAGGCATGAACCTACTGAAACAAATACCTTCGGTCACCACATCCTCTTTCAGAAATATGTGAGGTGGGAAAGGGCGACCAACTTGACAGCGGTGAATTCAGAAGCAGAGTAGGCACGCACACCTTGTGGGTTGGGTGTACCGTGACGTTGTCGTGCTTGAGCCATTGGGCCCTCAGGCTCGCAAACATCTGCTGGTCCTGTTGAAGTTCGAATGTGTTTTGGTAGAGTAGATAGTAGTAGGGCAGGGAAGGGTATAGCTTAGAGGGACGGCGGGCGGGTACGACACCAAACTGATGCATGACAACAATTTTACCTTCGAGGCTAGGTAACCTTGCATCAAGTTATAGATATCGTACTCAGGTGTTTTTACAGACAGAAGAGAAACGCCCCTCCGCGGCATGTTTTGTGAAGGAGCCGTGCTTGCTGCAATATCGTCATACATGCACACACACCTACCTGTATTGCGAGTTGCTCGGTCCATGCATCCGCCCTCTCCGCTCGTCTCCTCGCGAAGGTCTCCCTCTGCTTTGCGGCCATCTTGTTTGACCTGGCCTCCCTTCCCTTCTCTAGCTCCGCGGCAGCTTTGTCGCAGGCCTCGTCCGCCTCAATCACCGCGCGGTCGCGGTCGGACTATTGTGATGGTGTGGCGATGTGACGTGGTGTAGTGTGGCGCATGGCCACAAGTAAATGACCGGGAGATATTAGCGATGCGGTCGTGCGGTTGTGTTGTTGTGTTGTGCGGTGTGACGCGCTATCAAAAAAATGACACAGCCAGGAATGACGACTGGGCACGCACGAAACCACCGATATTCTCAACACGGACGATCCTGTAGAGATGGGGATGAAAAAAGTTCTGTAAACGTCCTCTGTAGAGGCCGCGGGGGTCCCCTGCACATATTTGCGTGAAATGAACGCCCTCAAGAGGGGCGGAGAAAGTTAGCAAAGAATATATCTCGGGCGAAAAAGTTCCCGAGCGCGTTGGTCTCGTTGTGCATCCTATATCTGCTGGAGATACATAGCCAACACACTTTCGCTGCGGGTTTCTCGCGGTGCATCCTATGGAACATAGAGAACACACGGACGGACTTCCAAAGTCTCACAGAGATACCGTAGAGAGAAAGAGGGATGGGAGAGCGGATTTGTCAACGTGTTCGAAGGAATACTTGTGATGAAGCGCACAGTTTGCTCGTATAACCTGTATTTCGGAGAACTTTCTGCGTAGCGCCTGAAACCGCTCCCGCTCCTCCCCAGTTAGCCCTGTAAGCCACACCGCCATCATCGGGATATTCACCGATGCGAAACTATGAAAGAAACGAAACACAACGGAGGAAAGAAAGAAGAGTGGCAAAGTGGCGGATAATAGAAGTAGTCACGCGTGCCCACGACGCTTGTGGCAACCTATAGAAACAACTCAAATAAGAACGAGCTGCATAGTTTAGGCAGATCATACGAGGATAGAAAACTGTTGCGGTGTTCATTCAATCTCTGGAACACCGTATTCAGCTGTTGCTGTCAACGGTCAGGGTGCCATCTTTCTGCACGGATGGCGACGACACGAAGCTAACAGCTTTACGTACCTAGCGCTGCTGAAGACGGCGTTCGGCGGCACGATTCCGTTAGACAGAAGCTTGAAGTGGTTTTCCTTCAAGAACTTTCTGAATAAGATTCCCTGTAGTTGCAGGAAACCGTAGATAGAGAGAGGGAGAAACATAGAAGTGTGTCAGATATAGAGAAAGAGATAAGAACCGGCTCTGGGTTCGTACAACTGTTGCTTGGGAGAAGGGTGGTGAGTCGAACTAAACGCTACGGACGATAGACTCTTCAACTTTTTCAACAGTGATGATCGAGAACTAAACCCCACTGAACTTCGGGACTCCACGGATGGCCTTGCACCAGTCTGAAAGCGAGTGCACATTGTCAGCTTTTCTTCGTCGAGCTTACGGCCGTACGACACCCTCTGTTCCTCAACAAGATGAGCGGCAAAGTACTGATAAGAGTCTCGGTCCCCGTCTACTTACCTCGCGCTGAAGACGAGCCTCAGCGGAGAGCAGCACGAGAATCTGGAAGTGCATCATGCACATAAGCTCTTCCCGGAACGCTCCCCGGAAAACTGATTCGTTGTCCAGAATCTGTATGTTTCGGGGAAGAAAGATAGGAATTAGAGCGACGTTAAAACGCCGACACACTCTGCGTTTGTGGATGTTGCGGTGGGTAGTTTGGCCGGTCGAGGTGGAAGCCATAGACAGCGGAAGGATATCGTGACTTGATTGCGCGGGTTGTGAGCGAGCGTGGTGCAACAACCGGTCCTTTGGTTACCTCGAGCAGAA